GCATCTTGTACGGGAAGGTTTTGAGGTCATCTTTGAGAACTCTACGCATTGACGTCTGACTGACTCCTGCTTCTGCAGCTGAGCGACGAGCGTTTCTCCTCAACTTCTCCCTCGTGTTTTTGACCAATTGTTTTGTTCGGACACTTCGTTTAATTCCTTGACCAGTTCGATTGCATGTTACACCAGTTTCCTTGAATTTTTTTACCACCTTCCACACAGTTTCGCGACGAATTTGGAGCTTTTTTGCAATGACTGAATTACTCTTGCCCTTTTCATGAAGGGTTACAATTGCATTTCTATCTACTGCCATAAGTAATAGTGAATTTAGACACCTTAGACTTCTGTAATATAAAATAGATGAATTAATAGATGATATTAAGCTTCATTATAAAAGAAAAGTCTCCCAGAAACCAATTTATTTCTATATAGCAAACATCCGTTGCCATAAATATGGCGGACCCTGTACTGCAACATAATATTGGCGATGGGTTAAATAATTGTCGAAAATACAACTAACAGCACAGTTCAAGAATAAGAATTTAAATCACTTAACACTTCCACCACAACACAGCTAAGTTTATTGACGGCACTGATCAGTTTGGTTACACACTTTTAAAAGCACAAATATTGAATTGAGATGAGGTCAGATTAAAATAGATGCTTCAGAATGGAACAGTAAAGTAAAGTTGAAGAATTGCTCAGAAAGAAGGTAAAGTAATAGAGAGGTGGCAAAAGCTAGTAATAATAATACAGATTATATCAGTGCCGTTAGCTTTAGGTTTGATCAGGTTGAAATTTAAATGGCATATACGATTGAGTTTATAAGGGCGAATTTCTTGAAAACTGAAGCATCTAAAAGGAAAATAAAGCATAACAGTAAGCAACTTAACAAAATGAAAGAAACTCTGGCACACCAAAATAAGGTAAAGATATAGCAAAGTTCAAGAAAGATAATTTAGAATTTGACTTATGGATTGATTGTGAACAGCGTCGATGAGCAGTACGATGACGTAAATATAAACACTCAACACGTTGGCTCCGACTGCTTCATCTTGTACTATTATTAATTTTTTTGTACTGTTATAAAAACAGCGTTGGCAGACAGTCTTTTTTCCGGAAAAATTCCGCGATTTAGTTTTTTTCAATTGCGTTGGCCGACTAAAATTTAAGATAGGAGTACTACATAATTAAATTAAAAAACTACAAAAAATAGAATTTTCAAACCAGAACCACAAACATATAACGTAGGTTCCTAGATATATACATTGAGTTAAAGGCCTATTTTGTTCGCGGTCTTGGCCGTTCTTAGGGTATTCTTCTAGTAAACTTACCCTAAACTTCTTTTAGTAAACTCCCTAATCTTCTTGTAAACTTACATAAATTCAGTTGGAAAGTAGATATTCAATGCACGATGGGAAATTTTCCCACAATTTCTCGTCTGTGATTGGTGGATGTAGCTTGAAAAGTAGTCGGTGATTGGTTGACGGAGTTACGAACTCGTATCTATAGTAAGGTTCCCAGTTTCCCTGGTTTTAACCGATATATATAAATTGAAATTTTTGTACTCGTACATATAATATTAATATACTTTATGACCCCCAAAATTGTACAAGGTCATTGATTTTAATTTTGATAAATTTTTGATCGTAGAAAGCACGAGTAAATTAATCCTAGGTAGAATAAAGTAGAAGCGTAGAAGCCCTGAGCCGCACTAAAGAAAGTAGATCTCTGATCTACCCCTTCTACCGCACGCTACACTCATGGTGTGTCATGTGTCAAGGTCGCGACCACGGGGCAACCGTCTACCCAATGACACACGCACTCACTGTAATAATTAAATGGATCATATTGACCAAGTAGTGACACACTTCCTTACCCACAGCACTAGCAGAGAGAGGTACAGCACTTATATGCTCTTTTGTCAGGCCAAACTGGGTCAGGACGACCCACTTATGAGCAAAAAGTGCATCGTAGCTCAATAATTTCTTTGATTGGGTGTCATACAACGGTACAAAAACAAAATTTGACCCATCGAAAAAATTTAACGTTAAAAACTTCAAAAAGTTTTAACCGTACTTGCAGTTTTTTATCTATCTTAGTTCCGCCAACTTTTTTTCAAAATATAAAAAATATAAAAAACCGAGAACAGATGTTTTCTGCTGCCATGGAAAATTAATAATAGTCTATTAATTTGAAAATATAATAATTGTATTCGGTCGGGTAGTCTATGGAAAAATTATATGTGCTCGCAAGCTGTTGACGTTTATGTTAAATATCATTTAGTAATCCAATAATAATAATTATTATAATAATAATATTATTCAAAATAAATAATTATCGTTTACTAGTTTATAATAGTAATAACTAAAAAATAATTCGTTTAAACTATAAATTATTATAATAGCGAGAGAGAAGGCGTCGAATGTTCAAGGAATGCAAGGAAAATAAAAAATAATAATAAAATAGATAACACGAAGTAAGGAATGACACAAATAATGAAAGAAATTATTATATTATTGAATGAAATAATGAAATAATATAATAATAATAATAATAATAATAATAATAATAAATGCCCCAGAATAAGTATATTAAAAAATAAAAGAGATGCCACAAAATAAGGACAATATGCCAGCTTACATTCATAAACATATTAGAATTTAAATAACCTTTTTCCATAACGATAAGTTTAATTTGCTAATTAGTGGACAAACTGACATAAAATCAGCGTGTTTTTTCTACCGTTTTTCCGAATTTCGTGAAACCAAGAAATTCTATGGAAATTTACACACGCTTGCCATCGTTTGAAATATAATTATATATGAAGATGAAGTGACATATAGTATCAATATATATATATATCCATCATATATATTATCCATCAATTATAAGTACATTCGGAGAAATAAGGGAAAATTTGTCCACATAGCGATGCACCTGTTGCGGTTGGTTGTGCAGGACCTAGTTTGGTTAGGCAAAAGGCGGGACATTATTTGGACAATAAACCCAATAATTTTTTTAGTGTATGAGAAAAACCGTGACTGAAAAATCAAAAGAAACTTCAAGCAAAGTTTACTTTTTTTGGATAATTAAACAATAAATATAAGGAAGAAATTCCCATATACTTTCAAATGAAAACATAAACAATATTTGAATCAATGCCGACCATACAGAAGAGATCGGCATTTTATTTGCAGTGACAAAGTCAAGTTTAATTTAATTATAATGTTAATAATATGAGAAGATTCCATGATGATATTAACATCATTAATATTCAGAACATCATCGTATACTGCAATGATTATAGTGAATCTCCAACATGACGAATTCACGTAACATTGGTCAATTTCAGTAATAATACTGATAACAAAATAACAATTAATATAATGTAATAGCTAATGCAATATATTTTACTTTTATTACATGCAATGCAATAATTCCCAACGAAATTTAGGCATGACACAAAATCGCAATAATAACAACCGAGCTTTTTGTATCACGTTATCTCGTTACAGCAGTTATTACATCCTGCATTACCTCATTAAGAGAGCATCACGTTAACACTCATCAACTTCTCATTAATTCCCTCCCTCAATTAATGGCTCATTACCGTGATTAATTATACATTCCATTCGTTATAGATATTCATTATGTCTATACATGCCATACATTCTATATATTCATTATGTCATCCTTATGACATAATGGATTCAGGGAAGCTAAATTACTGAATTGTTTTGAAATTAGGAAATATTGAAATTTTTGCCTCCAATAAACTTGTTGTTGATCACATCCTGTAGTAATTTCGTTAAAGGCTTTATAATCTTTATAAATAAAGCTAAACTTAAAATGTTGAACGGTGTTAGGTTATTACATAGGCTTGTTAGTTACATACAGCCAGCGCTAAACTTTACTTAAAGTATTTATTGGTAACTTGACTGGTAACTTGACTGGTAACTTGACTGGTAACTTGACTGATAACTTGACTGATAACTTGACTGGTAACTTGGCTGGTAACTTGACTGGTGA